CCCCCGGGACTCACAGCTGTGGAAGGAGAAGCAGGAGAAGCGGAACAGCCATCCAGGGCCCAGTGCTACCCTCGGCTGGCCCTACAGAGAGAGCGCTGACACTGGAATGGCTCATTGGAGTCCCACATGGATCAATCACTGGCTGGGGGCTCCGCAGAGAAGAGTGTGACCTTGAGTGAAGAGGCTTCCCCTCCCCGGAGAGGCCAACAGCTTAAGACAACTACGCTCGGACAGCTAGGGCAAGCCTTCCTTGAAGGGGACTCTGAGCTGTGCCCCACAGTGTCCACTATGAGCAGTAAACAAAACATGAGAATCCCTGCTGTCCTGAAGAGGCTGTTCCACTGGGAGCTTATGTTCTTAAGATTGTAAGATTGCTGTCAGATTAAATGGAATAGTGGGTGTAAAGTACCTTACCAAGGGCCTGGCATAACAGAACACGTATGCAAATCATGATGCCCAAAGGCAGTAAAACAACCAGGGAGATTAGGAGGTAAAAGGAGTTGGACTGAGAGTGCTAAGCTGTCTGCTGGCTCTCCGAGCCCTGCTCTCCCTGCCCTGAACCCTGAGGGGGTCCTGCACCTACCCAGCCTCTCCTCAGACTGTAAATAAAACCCTGGCATTGGGAACCTTCTCACTCTACCTGGGGCAGCAGCCAGGTGCCATCTGAAGGTTTCCTTCTGCGAGAGGTGGCCGGGATGATGGGGAGGGAAGGGCTGCAGGGAAGGCAACCCTGGCGCCTCCAGCTCAGTGAGGCAGAAGCCAGGCACAGGCCCAGGGAGCAAGAATAAGAGATTTCTCCTTAGCAATGACTTCTCCCAAGACACTGGAAAACGGGAGGAAATCCTCCGCAAGCAGGGGGTCTGCTCCAGCGCATGGTCTCTGAGGCCCACCCAGCTGCCCTCCCCACCGGGACCGCCTACCCTGGGAGGGAAGCCCCGTTGCCCAGTTTGCTCTCATTTCCTGGAGCATGTGGCCTGCTGTAGGGACAGGGAGATAGCTGAGAGGAGGAGATAGTGGTGGCAGCTTTGGCCCGTCTTTTGTCCCCCTTTTTCTCTAGGTCTCTTTCCCTGAGGTGGTTGGGACAAGGGTGGGGTCACCAGTCTTAGTAAATACAAATACAGGACACCCAGTTAAATTTCCATTTCAAATAAACAACAAATAACAATTTAGTATAAGTATGCACCATGCAATTTTAGGAATATACTTAACACTAAAAAAAGTGGTGTTTACCTGAAATTCAAATGTATCAGGTAACCCTAGGTGGGTGCAGACCACGTGGTAGGCAGGGGAAGGCTGCAGCAGATCCAGAGAGGACACACCTCCTGGCAGAGAGCCAGAGACAGACCCAGGGACCGAGAGAGGGACACAGCAGAGGGCACCCGGGAATCCCGCAGCTCCTTGGGAAGGGGAAGTGCGGAGGAAAGTGAAAAGGGAAACTGGTCCCCAGCCCAAACAATCCCAACAAGACAGGGATGTGAGAGCTGCAGGGTCCTGGGCCTCAGCTGGCCCGCTGGGCTCCTCCTGCTGTGCTGGGTGACCTGAGGCAGCTCTGGGCAAAGGCCAAGCTGGGAGGCCTGCCTCGATGGACAGTTCTGTGTATGGGGGCTGGAGTGCTGAGGGGGAGGGTCTGAGAAGGGGGGGCGCGCCATGAGGGGTCTTGCAGCTCCTTCTCAGCTACTTATGGCAGAGGCGACCTGGTGCATCACTCGGAATCCCAGCCCCACCCACTGTTCCCCACCGTCCCCGGAAGTGGCCCCTCTCTCCCCATCTGTAGGTCCTCCGGTCCTACCCATCCTGCGGCGCTCTCTCTGACAAGAAGGATCACAATGATTACTAGAAATTATTGAATACGTGCCCTGGGCCAGGCATCTTGTTTCACCTTTACAATAACACTGTGAGGTAAATGCTGTCACCATCCCCACTTTACAGGTGAGGAAACTGAGGCTCGGGTGAATTAAATTACCAAAGGCACCTCAGTAGCTAGTTAGCAGTGGAAGAGCACTCCAACCCAGATCTGCGCGGCCCTGGGCCCACGCTCAAGTGCGTCTGTGCCTCTCTCACAGCCTGGACGTCGTGGACCTGGTACCACTGTGCCCTGTGTCTACCGTTCGGTCAGGAGTCTCGGAGGAAGGGCGCAGATATGTTTTTTATTGTTTTTTGTTTTTTCTTTTTTTTTTTTGCCCTGAATCCTCAGTCCCTGACACAGAGGAAATAATAGTGTTTGTTTAAAGACTAAATCTTGTTCCAAAATGTACACAGCTCCCTTCCCTGTTCCCTGTCCCTCTTCCTGTCCTCCCAGGCCTTTCAGTAGCCAACACTCGAACTATGAAGAGCCTTCTGCATGTCCAGCCTCAGCTGGGGCTAGGGCTCTGAGGAAGGAACTGGCCTGTAACTTCGTCTGTCCTGTAGCTCTCCTGCAAAGGAAGCCCCTCCCTGGGCGGGCGCCCGGCGCCCGGGACCTGCGACAAGTCCTTGGTCTCTAGAGGAGATAATGCCTTTGTGCCTTCTCAGATAAACAAACAAAGCCGGCTTGAAGTGTGTAATGCAAGGTGCGTGCGGGAGCAGCGCCTGCCTTTGGAGATAGGTCTGGACTTCCTCCCTGGGTCCAGCAGGAGACTGGGGACCGGGAGGCTCAGTTAGTTGCAAGGCCATCACCTACATATAAGCACAGAGCCTCGGGTCACACCACACAGGGGTACCAGTCACAATGTGGTCTCAGTATAGGCGCCCCCTGGAGTTTAGTGACACATCCGCTTTTACATGTACCACCACCACCATCACCCATGGCCCTGAGCCCTACGGACCCTGGTACTCTCCCCCTGCCCCTCCCTCCCCTGTCCCTGCATGGTCACATCAGGGCCACAGGAAGCAGGGCCAGCAAGTGTGCAAACCAAGGGCCAAGATGGGGAAGTTTATTTTCCAAGAATCATCTAAACACAAGGAGAGTATTTTTAGGCCCTGGTTCCCACCCAGATGCCAAATCTAAACAGGGGGCCAGAGAGACGGCCCGTTGGGGACACAGAGCAGCCAGCGGAGACAGGGCAGGGCAGGGCACCGAAGACCCCACCTTGCCCCTCAGATAACTGCCAGAGGAGAAAGGTGGGCGCGGGAGCCAAGGAGGGGCAGAGAAATGACTGGGGGTGGGCTGGGCCCACTTTCTGAACAAGGGGGCAACCGGCAGCTCCCCACCCTCTCCAAGAGCTGTGTCAGGAGCCAGAGGGGTCTACTGAGGACGGCGGGGCTGCAGGAGGGAAGAACTTACTCAGAGGAGGAGGCTCCCAAAAACACACAGTGAGGACCGCCCAAGAGTCTCAGCCTCGGGGTGCAGGGCCAGTTCCAGGGGGGTTGGCTGCACAGCCCTGGGGTGACTGGCCAGGAGTGACCTTGCTTTGAGTGGCGTGCTGACAGCGCCTGCTCTGGCCTCCAGGTGCGGGGGGGCAGGTGGAATGCTGGGAGGAGGCGTGAGCCCTGGGCCCTGGACAGGCTGTGACTATTCTGGCCCCCACCGGCCTGGTCTATTATTATTATTGCGGGGTCAGGGGACAGGGAAGGGTGGGGTGCCTTCTGCCTGGGGTTGGCGAGGCCAAGGCTCCCCAGTCCTTTGCAAAGAGCTGGGACTTCCTGGTTTGGCTGCCATGCAATTCACTGAATGTTGCCTTGAGGGCAGGGGCTGGATGGGAGGTGGGGGTGGCAATGGGGAAGAGGGGAGATTGGGACTCCTGAGAGCCCTGAGCTGGTTGGGGTGGCGGGGGGGGGGGTGTGCCACTTAGATCTTAGATCCCTTGCAGGCTGCGTGGGAACCAAAGAGAACAGGTTCAGTGTCCACATACCCCCTGCTGACACAGGCTGCCTGCTGTTGCCATAGTGACAGCAATACCAATCTCCCTCGCCAGCCACCCACCGCTGTGTGGTCACCAGTGAAAGGAGGGGGTGCTTATTCTTGGTCACGAAGGGGAAAAGGGAGGGGGAAGGTCGTATGGAGGGGAGCAGCCCTTTCTCCCTCTTCCCAGGCTTAGCTAGGAGTGGTCAGGGACTCTGAGGGTATCAGGGTGGGTGAAGGCTTAGGGGTCACCTCCTCCAACCAGCTCCCCTCTCAAGACCACAGCAAGCCAGGGCTCCTCACCCTGGGTAATGGGATCACTGTGTCCTGCCCACTGCAGACAGTGGAGCCAGTGAGAGAGGTTGTCCCCATACCACCCCGGCCCTGGACCTCAGTGGGGGCAGGGAGGCGCCTCTTCACCCAGCAAGGCCCATTCTTGTCTCCTTCCCTGAGTCTCAAGGTTCATGCTCCTCCAAAATTCAGCCCTGCTCTGCATGATGAGGCCTCGGAGCCTGGGCCCCCCCACCCCTGGCACTGGGGGCCTGGCCCAGCTTGGGGTCCGCCAGAGGAGCCCTTATTTCCTTCTCCCTTGGTTTCCCAATCCCTATTCCCCATGCATCCCCACCTCGTCTCACTCCCTCTTGGGTCTCAGAGGGAAAAGCCTTCAGGGATGCACTGAAGGGGCGGGAGGAGGGTGCTGGGAGGGCTTCACTTACAGCTCCCAAGTGCAAGGGCCTGAGAGCCTCAGATACATCTCTTTTGACCTGTCAGCAACTGGACCATTGCAGCAGCCTAACTGCCCCCTCTGCTCCCTCCCCCACCCTGCAGCCCCTGCTCCACAGAGCAAAGATTCTCTGAGGGCTCCCAGTCTCCCATGCTCAAGCCTGGCATCTGTACAAGATCCTACTTCGAGCCCTCCCCACCCCCACACACTGCCTCTTCCCTCCCCCCACCCCCCCCACCCCCCGCTCCCTTTTCTCCTCCTCCTCTTGCTCCCACCTGAACGCTGGCTGGCTCCAGATGGCCTCCTCCCCGGCCTCCCTCAGGTCTTCCGGATGTCCCGTCCCATTGAGGCCTCCCCTGCCCACCTTCCCCTTCTGACTGAGGTTTCTCCAGAGCACTTACAGACAGAAGCCTGATAGATTGTACAATTGAGTCTATTTTATTTATAGTATCTCCCTACTAGGCTATGAACTCCAGAAGGGCAGGCATTTTTGTCACATCTCCAGTGTCTAGAACATAGACACTCAAGAAATATTTCACCAAATAAATGAACTCCTTGTCACCCATCTCATCTAGGCTGTACCCACACATACCCCGCGCCCTCCACCCCTAGCACAGAGGAGAAAGCGCCGGCCAGTGTCTCAGCCGACGGCCACGGCCACTCTGTGTGGCCTCCACCCAGCCTCTCTGAGGCGCTGGAGCTCCAAGGTGCCTTCTGCATGTCACCACGTGGGGTGTAGTCAGGGAGCTCACAGAGGTGGGAACGGGTAACCCGCAGTCCCTGTTCCAAAGAAATCTCCAGGCCCCAAGGTCCCTGCCCCGGAACTGGGATAGGTTGAGGGAAACAGGGCAGGGGTGGTGGTGGGAACTAAAACCAGACCTGAGAAAGGTATCTCCAAAAATATATCCATCTTTTCATCGTCATCAAAGTCCAGCCTGGGAAGCCTGAGGAAACAAGGTCCAAGCCCTCTCGGGTCAGAGATCAGAGGTCAAGCGTCCAGACGTGAACCATCACCGGAGGAAGCCAGCCATCAGGCAGCTAAGCGTGGGGGCCAGCAGAGCAGGCAGCGGCAGGGGCAGCAGCTGTCCTGGCGCCTGGGACTTGAACACCAGGCGCTGCCCCCGGCGTTGTAGGGGCCTGACGTTGTCCGTCATGGTCAGTTTCTGCTCTCCGTCGTAGTACAGCTTCTCAGAGAACGCGAGGATCTGCAGAGGGACAAGGCTCAGCTGGCATGGGGCCAGGTGGGGCTGTGCTCCCTGCTGTGTGACCCCAGGCCAGTCACCGTGCCTCTCTGACCCCTCAGTAGCGAAGGGGCTCAGAATCCCTACCTCTCAGGCTTCAGTGCAGATGAAAATAATAGGAACTGTAAAGTGCTGGGCATTGGTGGGCGCTCAACTCCCTTTAGCTTCCCTGAGCCAAGTGGACGGCTTGGGGGCGTATGGTGACAACTACCATTATCGCTGTTACTAAAGAACAGTGGTCCTCAAACTTGAGCATTACTGCCACCTGGGGGGCTTGCTGGGCCCCAGAATGCCAGACTCCACCCCCAGAGTTTCTGATTCAGTAGGTCTGGGGGGAGGCCCGAGAATTTGAATGTCCAGCAGATTCCCAGATGATGATGCCACTGGTCCGGGGAACCACTCTTTGAGAATCATTGTCCTAGAAGAACATACCACGAGGGCAGGGACTGAGGCCCTTTTTACTCACTGCTGTGACCTGAGTCGCTTGTGTTATAAGGACTCCAGGACCACGTGAGGACTGAAAAACCTGTTTCCCTGTGATGGCTACAGTGATCCTCTCTCGGCTGCCCCCGGCCTACCTGGGCCCTCCAGGCAGGCACCTCTCTCCAGAACACAAGCCCTCCTGCCCTCAGCTGGCCAACATCCACCTACTTTTCAGGGCGCAGCCTGGAAGCTGTTTCCTGACACTCCCTGCTATGGCCTCCCCTCCAGCCCTTAACCCAGAGGTAGGACAGCCGGGGCCCTTCTTGTCTGACTCCTGCAGAGGGTGTCTGTGGATTTAACCCAATAGGCCCTCAGTTCCCTGGGGTGACCCCCGGCCCAGGGGTCTCTGGGGGGTCCACAGGGGCAGCCTCTGGGGAGCTGGGCAGTGGGAGGCTGTCGCCTCAGCCGGGCCCTGTGTACCTGGTCCCGGTGGAGCTGAATGGGGTCCTCAAACACAGTCCAGACAACCTTCTCATCACAGGGCGGTGTGGTGAGTGAGCCCAGGTAGCGGAAGTAGCGCCTCAGTTTCTCCTCCTCCGGGATCAGGTCGAACAGGCTGACGCCCCTTTTCATTGTGGTGTTCATCACTGGTAGGGGGTGATAAAGGATGCCGTCGGTGGGCGGGGGATTCCATGAGACACGGATCCCCCCTCGCACACTTTGCTCTGAGCCGAGCCCCCTTTGTAGGAAGAATTCTCCACCCCTCCCATCACCCCCCAGCCGTCCTCCTCGTCATCCTGACTCACTGGGTCTGGGAATAGCAGACAGTACTTCCACCAGGGGCTGGAAGCCGTCATTCTTGGATCCAGCCTGGAACAGGAGGGAAAGGGGCTTGAGAGGGGCTTGTGGGGAGCTCGTAGTGACCACCCATTCATTCTCCTGGTCTGGGGCGGGGAGGCAGGCAGCTTCTGGGACCGAGGCCCTGAGAGGCTCTGAGCTCCCCGCCTGGGCGTGTGCAAGTCCCCGAGAAATGGAAGTCGGGGCCTCCGCAGGTCTGGCTGGAATCCCAGGTCTCTGTAAGAAGCAGCCCCTCAGACCCCGGGGACAGGGGTCCTACCTCCACCAGGAAGGCCAGCACTGCTATCTCTTCTTTGTGGTCCTGGGCCTCTTTAGGGTTCTCCTTCTCATGTACTATGTGCATCTGGTGGGAGAGAGAGGCGGAGGGAGAACTTGGGGGGCTGGATTGCCCTTCTTGCCTGAGGCAGGGACACTCAGAGCCTGGCAAGGCACTGACCCAGGAGGGCCACTCACCTCCATGGCGAAGTGCTCCCCATCAAGGCTGTGCTCTGAGCCCGCGTCCAGCACCGTGGACCAGTGCAGGTGCAGCTGTTTGGCCCGGTACCGGGTGGCCAGTCCTCCTCCAGCAACTGTGGCCTCGTTCCCCAGCAACACCATCACTGAGGCGCACAGGAGAGGGCAGAGTCCTCGACCCACCTCCCCTAGCCTCTCCCCTAGCCTCTCCCCTAGCCACTCTCCCCGGCTCTGCCCAGGCAAGGCCTCTCCTGCCTCCCACCCTCCATGGGCTGTGGGCCTGGGTCTGGAGGGAGGAGTCAGGATGGGCCGTGCGGCCCCAGACCTTCCCCGGCCCCTTACTGGCCTCCCTGCCTGCCTCCCTCTGCACAGTCCCCACTGTCCCAACAGGAAACTCGGTAGGTCTCTACTTTGCTCCAGCCCCGCTCTGTGGTGCCCTGGTGTCCTCAGGGGAATGCCCAACCCCTCAGCCCTCAGCCGCCTGCCCCTGGGCTGGCTTGGCTCCTCCAGCGTCACTCTGTCCTCCGCCCACACAGAGCCACATGCGGTTCCCTGAACACACCAAACTGTTTCATGCCCCCACACTTGTGCACATGTTTTTCCTTCATTCTAAGACATCCAGACTGATCTGATGAAAGTACCAAAAATCCTGCTGGCGTGGTCTCTGCTTTCCGAAGCCCTTCCTCTTCCCCTGCCTTCCCTGAATTGGGCTTTCTGGTTTCTCCTCAGCAAACGGGCACCTGGGGCTGTGAGCCCTCCTCGTCCTTAGGGAACTCGGGGTCCCCGGACCCGGTGCCCGCGCCTGCCCAGGTCCTCTATCCTGCCCACCTGGGACCCACCTGAGTGCCCATTGTTTTGGACGGTCCACTTTTGCTTCTTGTCATAGCCGGAGAAGGAGAAGGGTCCCAGGGCTCTGTTCACCTGTGCCTTGGTGGTGACAATGTTGATGGGAGACTGGCGGTCCTTCTTGCAGTCTCCACCCCACCGGTCTGGCCCTGAGCAGGGAGAGGAGGTGGACTGAGTCGGGGTGCCTGGAGCCGGGGTGTAGCCCCCTCCGCTCCGCGGAGGTCACGCCTGAGCACCCAGCTCACAGACGGCGAGGTCTTGGGATGGCTGGCAGGCTGTGGCAGAGGTCTTCCTGCTCAGACACACGCACACCCTTGGTACGTGCGCGCAAACAGCAGGTCTGGCTGGGATGGCAGGGTGGGAACAGGGTGACTAGTTGGTGGCTGTGAGCTCTGAGGGAGGGGACAAGCTCATCGTCCTGGGCTGTGAGGGGAGAAATGTGGTGATAATATGCTTCATAACCTGTGTAATGAAGTTCAAAGAAGGTGAGTGGGAGGGCGCTGGGAAGGTGTGGAGGGGAGTCCCCGGGGAGGGCTGCTTGTGGAAGGACCCGCTGACCAGACACTAAGCACTGCCTGAGGCTGCAGTGGGGAAGTAACCCTGGAGGAGCCTGGCTCCCCAAACGCTGGTGACTCCAGCCCCTGCTGGGCGGGGCTAGGGAGTGGGGCAGCACTGTCCAGTTACCAAACAGCAGAGGCAGGAAGAAAGCAACTTCGGGGAAGTTGGGAAACTGGCCAGCTTTTGATTAGAAAGTGAAAAGGATCACTCCCGGGTTCACCTGCAGAAGAACGGGACAAAGTCTCCTTTTCCTGTTTTTTTAAATCATCACCCAAGTACTTTTTTTCCCTAGCGCTTTTAGGGAGAGAGGAAGGGAGGAAAAGAGAGAGGGAGAAAGAGAGAGAGAGAGAGAGAGAGAGAGAGAGAAATATCGATGTAAGAGAAGCATCAGTTGGTTGCCTTTTTGTTACGTGCCTCGACAGGGGATCAAACCCACAACCTAGGCATGTGTCCTCACCAGGAATAGAACCCATGAGCTTTCGGTCCATGGGATGGCACTCCAACCAGCTGAGCCACACCAGCCAGGGTCCAAGTCTCCATTTTGTTATGAGAAAGAGCAAAATGTATCTCTCTATTTGATGCTGCTGATGACATTTCATAGAGGACTCACTCTCTTGGTGACAGTGATGACGGTGCCAGGGAAGGCTCAGGTCACTCTGCATTCCTCGTCCCCTGAGCACCAGGAGAGTGTGTGTGTGTGTGTGTGTGTGTGTGTGTGTGTGTTAAGAGCTGATGTGACTGGGGGGACACCATTATCTCTCATCCTTCCCACCCTCCTTGTGTCTCCATTTCGAGCTGGATGGTCCCACCACGCAGAAAGGCCCGTCTCCAAGACTCACTGCACTTACCCAAACAATTGTTGGAGGCATTGGCTTGAATCTTGTAGCACCAGTGTGACTCTGCAGTGGAGAGAGGAAGGATGTGAGGCCTGTGTGTATGTGTGTCGCTACATCTGTGTACACACACGACTCCACGAGTGCACGTGAACTGTGCACTCAGCCTGAGCTCAGACCTCTGAGCACACACACACACACACACTGGGTGTGTGTATACACAGTAGGTCAGAGGCTGCGAATTTCCCTGAATTCAGAGTCCCCCTGGGGTTGGGGTGGGTGTTCCTGGGGTCTGGGAGGGGACACTTTGGAAGAACATTTGGGGTGGGGGAGGAGGCAGTACCAGCAGTCAGGCGGCAGGGGTCCCTGGCCTGTGACTCATCCGGCTGTCATCCTGCCCAGCACACTCATCCTCATGCAGGGGAGAGCAGCCACCAGCCCTTCCGGGGGCTCCTCCGAGGCTTCCTCAGGTCTGGCCTCCACACTCCCCATTCTTTGCCCATCAGCCTCCCACTCCCTCCTTCAGGCCAGACCTGGAAGAGAGGCTCTGGTGGGAGGAGAGGAGGGGGTCGGGGCCTGGCCTCCCCTCATGGGACAACAGAGCCAGGTTCAGCCTGGCTGCCTTCCCAGAGGTGATCACGGGGGTGATGGGGATCGCGCCGGCCCCTCCCTCTTGTTATTAAGACCCATTCTTGGCTAAACTTTCCCAGCTCCACAGAAAGAAAAACAGCCAAGCCTTTTCCCTGTTCCCACCACCCCACAGCCCTAGTGTCTGAGACCAGATAGACTCAGGTTCTAACCCGGGCTCTGCCTCTGGATAGAACCAGCATCTCTGACAAAAAGGCCACACCATGAACCTACCACACTGATGCAAGATGCTAACAACAGGGGAACGAGCAGGGGCAGGGGGAACGCAGGAGCCCTCTGCTTTCCACTCAGCTTTTATGTAAACCTAAACCTGCTCTAATTAGAGCCTACTGATTTTCTTTTTTAAAGGGTGGACAAGGCATTTGATCCAGAGCTGGAATTCTGGCTAAGTCACTGAATCTATCTAAGCCTCAGTTTTATCATCTGTAAAATGGTACTAACGCCAGTCACCTCATTTGAGGACGGTGGGGAGGATTAAATGAGATGGTGGGAGTATTGCAGGTAGCCTGGAACTTAAAGTCCCTGATGAGCCCTTTCCTTCCTGTTGCCTCGCTCCCTCTGCTCTCCTATAAGTGCGCAGATGGCCAAAGCCAAGTTGGAAAGAATTCAGGGATGAGGAAATTCCTAAGAAAAGCACAGCTTCCCACTCAGCCTGAGCTCAGGCCTCTCAGCATACACGGCTTCCCCCCACATTCCTGCCTGGGCAACCTCCCCAGCCCCCCAACCTCCCCCTCCAGTGCCACTCCTCTGGGGTTGCTCAAATGGGGACAGGGAGGGGAGGGAGCCATGAGAAGGTTAGGACCTCAGTAGCAGGAAGAAGGGTTTGAGGCCAGGAGTGAGCACCCACAGAGCCACCCTGGGCGTTTGAGTTTCCCAGCCCTTGATCAACCTCTTTCAGAGAAGGACAGTCTACCCCCTGGACAGGGCCCTGCTGCCCCTAGGAGTTGCTGCCCCTGGGAACCGTCATATGGGTCAACTCTGCAAGGCAGGGCGGCCCCTTCCTCTGCAGGTGGAGGGAGCTCTGAAGCTGGACCCCTTCGCCAGGCTTCCCGTCCTAGCTCTGCCCTCACCCAGTCACTGACATTCTGAGCCCCACGTTCTCCCTCAGGCAGAAGGAGCTGGTGGTGTCTGAGAAGACAATGGATGGGAGGCCCTCTGCACCTGTGAAAGGCTCCTTGTTATAACCCTCCTGGTCTTCCGCTCTCAGGGGTCCGGAAGGAAGAAGGGGCCTCCAAGGTCAGCCTGGACTGGAGGCCCATGGGAAGGCTGCTCCAGGGGAAGCCTTACTTAAACCAGAGTCCTGGGGAGCCAGCTCTGAAGGGTGGAACCCCCTCTGAGCCTCCCCAGGGATTATCTGGTTCAGGCTGAGCTTTTCTGAGGAATGTACTCTTTCCTGCCAGCTATGGCTCCTGCGTTTGTAGTGGTAACCTCTGATCCACTGCCGTAATCATAGAGACTTTTGACCTGCTTGGCCGAATGCTCTTGTAACTACCCTCTTCAGGAGGCAGGAGGCAGGAAAACACGATGCTGATGAGGCCAAGGCCAGGGGTCAGGTCTGTCTGTGGGCTGAGGACAGAGGGCTGGCTTTCAAGCAAGAGGTGGCCGGTCACACACCAGCTCGGGTTCCTGTAATCTTTCATGAGAGGGTTGCCCTTGCAGGTGACCACTGGCCCTCTGTCTCAGGTCACCTCCACAAGGGCCCGGGAAGGAGAGGGGCCCCAAGCTCCAGCTTCCGCCTAGTCCACCTGCCCCAGCCAGAAATGGAGTGAGAGGCCTAACGACCATGGCCAATCACCCGGCCACTGTTCCCCACCATTGGCTTTCCTTCCAACCCCCATTCTTTAGAGATTACTGAAGAATTTCTTTCTGATGGACCTTGCTCACCCCACCCTCCCACTCTTGGGGCAGAAGAAAATCCCGAAAACCAGCTCAGCAAAAGCCAAGTGTGTCCTGGGCAAAGTCTCAGCAAATCCTGGCCAGAAGGAGCCCAGTATCCTCTCCCCTCCTCTCTCCATGGCAGCAGATGCTCTGGGTACCTCGGTGGAAAGCCCAGTCATTTTCCAGCCTCCGTTTCCCTGGCCGTGGGGCCCCACGCCTGCGGTAGAACCATCACAGCCGTCACATGCAAAGTGCCTGCCATGTGTCACATACGCATGACACTGAGGACTTCCACCACTATCCCATGTGAATCCTTAAAACAGTACCTGATGTTCATCACTGTCCCTGTTTTGTAAATGAGAAAACTGAGAGTGACTTACCTAAGGCCACACAGCTGCAAAGCAGCCGTATTAATTGTAAAGCTTTTTTCTTTCTGCTAAGCCCAGCCCCTTAAGTAGGTTTCAAACGTCCAACTGTACCAAAACAAATTTTCACATCCTACTGGGAGGGGAGGAAGAAACTTCCCCCTACCCTTCTAAGATCGTTTGGCTGTCTAATAATCAAATAGACATGAGACAGATTAACAAGAGAAAATGACCACATCTAATAAGTATGGGCAGGAACCCCACACACATGAGAAGTCAGAGACGGGGAAAAGGAAATACATACGGCATTCTGAGCTAAGGGTGAGGTAAGGCACCTTGGAGCTTTGCAGGCGAGATAGGTCATAAAAACTCAATCTTGATAATAACTTATTATTGGCAAGGCCCTCAATTTAAATTCTTTAAGTAAGAGATAAAAGTTCCTCTATTGCCTTCAGCTCAAAGTAATTCACAAGCCAAGAGGCACACTTGGGGAGGCCCGTTCTGAATCCCTTTACCGCCTTTTCTCTTTCCTCCTCTCTAGGGACTTGCTGCAAGATGCCCCTCACCCAGCCCGCTCCGCACCCCAGGGGCCGGCCAAGTCTGTCCCGCAATCGCCACCCACTCTCTCCTCTGCTGCTGAGGTCCCCCCACCACTCACTCCATGACCCTAAATGGGGAGCATCTAGCTCTGGAGAAGGGGTTTGGTCAGGCGCGCCCCAAGGACCATGGGAGGGGTAGTTGAGCTGGGGACTGGCGGATGGGGGTTTCCTGCGACGGAGATGGGCCCCCGTGAGGTCGCAGGAAAGGTGCTCCCCGAATCCCTGTGCCCAGCCGCTGGAAGCACCTTCAGTTCCTTATCAAATATTAACACGTCTCTCCTGCTACCTCCCACCCAGGAGAATAATTAAGAGCTTGGCCTCACCACTAATCTTTAAAGGAAAATCACCCTGGCCGGAAAGACCGGCTCAACCGGGGACCTCGGGTCTCCTGGTGCCCCCAGCCAGGCTCCCAACACAGCGCTGGGGGGGGGCGGGGGGAAGGTGAAGGAAGGTGGCAGCCCCCAGGGGTAAGGACCCCAGGTTGAGAAGCGGGGATGCCAGGGCCCCGCCACACCCAAGTTGTTGCCCTTGCTCTGGGCGGAGGAGGAGGGCGACCATCCTGCACCCAGCCCCAGCCGGGCGGACAGCGACCCCACGGACAAACTGGGGAGGACCGGAGCCGCGTGAGACGCCAGAAAGGAGGAGAGACGGAGGCGCGCGACGGAGAGGGTCAGAGAAGCATCCTTCGCACGGACCCGCACGCTCGTCTCGCCACGGGCCGCCGCGCGCACGCTTTCCCCGCACCGCACGTGGCCGTTCGGGTGCGCACACAAGGTCGCCCGCGCCCAGTCCGCCCGCAGCCTCGCCGCTCCCGGCGCACACGAAACCCCGGACGGGCGCGCCGCCGGCGCGCACTGCTGGCCGGCACTGCGGGCCCGCGGGCTCATCCAGGGCCGGGGGCGCGGGGCTGGGGGCGCAGAGCAGGCCACCCGAAGGGCAGGGGGCCGAAGCCCAGGCGTTCACCTGCGCGGGCCGAGGACCGGTAGGCGACGAGGGCCATGAGCACCAGCAGCAGCCGCCGCATCCTGCGCAGGAGCAAAGACGCTAAAGACGCCGCGAAGCCAGGGGTCGCACACCGAGAAAGTCGCCGGGGGTGCTGCGATCCTGCCGGCCAGGGTTTTATAGCGGAGCCGCGACGGGGGGGAGCCCCGACCGCGGGATGCGGGTAGCGGCTCCACCCCCTGGCGGAGCCACCCCTCCTCTCGTCCTGAAATACACCGCTCCCCCCTCCCCGCTCTACGCCAGAGGCCCCCCGCTCCGACTCCGGTCCTCTCCCCACCCCCACCCCCGCCCCGTTCCACGTGGTCTCTGATTTGGGAACGGGCTAGCGATATCGCAAGGTACTTGAGCCACAGAAGGGTGGGTGCCTGGATTCCTGACTTTGAGTCATTTTGGCGCGGACCGCTGAGCGGCCCTCTCGCCTCGGGAGCGCCGGCCGGCCGGGCCTTGGAATGGCCAGAGACCGCCTTGGAGGGTTGGAGGGACGCGCGATGGTGTTTGTTGAATCCGATGTCCCCAGAAAGAGGGTTTTCTTCTCTTATTCAGGTGGTTGCCGCATATTCTCTCATTTCTTTTTCTGTTTCCTCCCAGGCTGCTCCAAACTTAATTTCCAAGCAGACGAAAGACCCTTCTTTCAACGTAGAGTGAAGACACCCCTAAATTACTGTGAGTGGTTATGTGACGCCAGAGCAAGGAGGGTTGAAGGGCTAGAGCCGAGACACAAATTGCAACGGGGCTCAGTGGGAGAGAAACTTGTGGGGTCAGAGGGGAGGGGTCGGGTCCGGTTGAGCGCCCCTCCACCCCTTAGAAGAGATGGGAAGAAAAGAGATGGCGTCTGAACGGACCCCTAGTTTTCGCATGAGCCAGGACAGGATCTTCAGCCGAGTTTAGGGAAAGAATCCCTTGAAGGAGGCCCTGGCATTGGGGGCAGTGGCGCGGGGGTGGGGGACAACCATAGAGAGGAAGCTGCCTCCTGTCTCGGGAGGGACGCTGAGCTGAAGTCCCCTGCCGCGATGCCTCCGCTCTTTCATGGCTCGAGGGACCCTCCGTCCCACATGGGGTGGGGCGCCTGTGGGACTTTGGGAAGCTCAGGCTTGGGTGAGGAAGAGGGATGGGGAACCAGGCAGTGGTCCTGGACCCCCTCCATCGACAGGAAGCCCCAGTTTTCTGGTCTAGTCGCTTCCCCATCCATTGCCAACCTCTCAGCCCGCACCAGCCTTTGAACCTGGGCTGGGGGCCTCTGCAAAGGGGTTGCCTCCCTAAGAGCTGCCTGGGTACAGGGGCTTCCTCCTTCAAGAGCGTCCTGGCTGACTCCCCTCCACCCCCCACCTCCTGGCCCAGGATCACACAGCGCAGGCTGCAGCTTTGATCTTACAAAGGCAGGAGCACTCTGGTCAGGCTTAGGGCCCCATTGTCTACACAGCTTTAGACTTCAACCAACAGCCTGGGACTGTGACCAGGGAGGGATTCTGCACCACGGGGGTTAAGGGGCTATTGATCAGTGACTCTGAGATCCACTTCAAAGTCCATTGCATTGGCCACCCCCTGGGGGGGCATGTTTGAGAGGGAGAGCTGCCCCCTAGGTAACCCTGCTCTTCTCAGGTCAGTGTACGCCCTTGTGTGTTTTGGGGCCAGCAAGATGGGGAAGGAGAGCCAGGCCCCAGTGCAGAGGGTCCCTCTGAGGGCCGCGGAGGAGGTTAAAGGTGGGCGTTTCCTCAGGAGGCGTCTTAATGACGGACACCACAGCTGTTTGAGATGCCGGAGGTGAGAGCGGCTCCTGCTCCATCTGCCATCTCCGACTCCAAGGTTACCCAGGGTTGGGAGGCCCCCACTCCTGGTTTGAACATTCCCGGCCTTATCTCCCAGCCCGGACCCCTGTCCTGAGCTGCCGTCTGCCAGTCATCCATCACTGCTTCTCTCCAATGGAGAGGACAAGGCCCTCATTAGAGCAGGGATGGCCCCAACATAGCGCTGTGACTTACAGAGCTCCTGAAGCTGCCAGCCCTGCCCTGTCGCCCAGCCCTGCGGCGGACTCCTTCCTCTTATGCTGCACAGTTTCCCCAAGACCCTGCATTCAAGCCTCTGCTCTTCCTCTGACTCAGGGATGGCCTTGGGCAACTTTCCTACTTTCTGCAACTTCCTTATCGGCAAGGTGGAGATGATAGTCTCTGCCCTTCTGATCTCTGCCAATAAACAGTTATTGGGCTTGCTGTAATCCAGCGCCTGCTCAGCCCAGACTTTCACAACTGGCCTTGTGGTCCCCTGGGTGTTGCACCGACCCACTGCAGATGCAGAGATGAATCAGCGATCATCTTCAAGGAAGAAGGCAGGGGGCAAACCAAAGGGTTCTGAGGTCAGGCAACCAACCAACCCTGAGATCACTTCTGGTTCCACCCACTTGTTCTGTGGTATCAGCAGAGCCTCAGTTTCCCTCATCTGTAAAATGAAAATTATACCCCTATCTTCTTCATAGGTTCCTGTGAGAATTCAGTGAGCTAAAGTCTGAGGAGAGCTGGTCCATGCTGGGGCACATCAGGACACATGACCATGACCTCTAAGTGGAGGTCCTTTCACCTGGATTAAGCATGACCCTAGGCAGGTGTCGATGTGGTGCAGGCTGTCAGGGGACACTGGGCTATGCCCAGGGAGGGGCCCTGGCGTCACGGCTCCTCCTAGACTTCCAAAACCTAAGGAGGGGCAAGCAAGGCTGAAGGGCAAGAGGGAAGCTCCAATTCCATGGACCCGGAAATGTGAGATCGGACTCTGCCCTTCCAGGGACTGGGATTTGGCCGAGTAGGGCGGAGCCACGTATCTCAACACTGCACTCTTGGTGTTCATAGGTCTAGAAGGTCTAGAACTAACTTCTAAATAGAAAACTATGCCTGTGTTCAGGGAGTTCGGTGGTCAGATGGAGCATACAGCAAAAGCTTTGAATGGGCTTTGGAATAAAACTGCCCTGGGTTCACATCCCAGCCTCAACCCTTACCTTCACCCTCTCAGGCTCAGTGTCCTGATCAGGAAAATGGGGATAAACACAGCACTTGCCTCCCCTGGGTCTGTTTAGGATTCAACTAGATGATGCTGGGTAAAGGGCCTGGCGGAGGGCCAGGCACTTAGCAAGTGCTCATTAAACCCCAGCTGTACTTGTTGGCTGTCAAGGGCAACAGCATAGGCCCATGATATTACAGGTGCCCAAGGAAGTGGCACCTGAATCAGCCAGTTGGTGGGGAATCGAAGAAAGTTTCCTGGAGGAGGTGAGTTGAGTATTAGGAGACAAGCAGTTAATCCCAACAAAGGAGGGGAATCCAGGCAGAGGAAAGAGAATGAGAAAAGGCATAGATGGGGAGCGGGTGGATAGGAGCATCATGCGAGAGGCAAGAGCGCTGAAATGAACCTGGAGAGGAATGTGGTACCAGGTGGATAGGATTTGTCTGTTGGGATTCGGAGGTTAGACTCATCTTTCCTTGATGACGTGTGGATATCAAGATCCTGATTTTATAGGCCGGGAAACATCCTCAGTCACTTGGCTCTAGAAAGGGACGGGGGAGAAAAAAAAGAAAAGGCCAGGGATCCTCACCTATTTCTCTGACTTACAGAAGAGGAAGCTGAGGCTCATAGAGGGCAGTGCTTCGCCCAAGTTACCCAGCAAGGCGAGAGCAGAGATGAGATTTGAACCCTGGTCTCCTGTCCCCGCTCCTCTAAGCCATGCTCTTCCCATGCCATCTCACTCCCCGAAACATACACACCTTCCTCCCATTGGGACTCCCAGCCTCCATCTCCCCTTGCTTTCTGCAGAGTCTCCTTTTATTAGTAGATGAGTAGGTTTGTGGAGACTCCAGTTTTCACATCCTTGGATGTTGAGATTAAACCTGCATGCAGAACAGGATTTAACCAGTAGCCTCAGCCTCACCACTCCCCAGCCTGGACCTCTGCCATATTCTAGCAGAGACCAGAAAGCTCCTTTCCTGCCAGCATCTGTGGAGGCTGCAGTCCCTCTTCCCTCACCTTCACATCTACCCTCTTTCTCTGACCTGCAGAGAGAATCCTGCGGGGAGCAGAAAGAGGAGGACAGAGAGAGCTGGGTGTGTCAGGCGGGCGGGGTAGGGACTTCATTATTAGAGGGGTTGACAGGAACTTCTGCCCCTGAACATTTTGAAATAATAGCAGCAGTAAGAAGCATGGAATAATCCAGTCCTGGAGATGGCATATGTTCTGTTCCTGCCCTGCAGAGTTCAGGAAAACTCCCCCGTGGCTCTCCCCTCCCTGCTCCTCTCTGCGTCTAAGTATCTAAGGCATAGGAGCCCAGGCTCACACCAGCAGGAGGCTGAAATCAGGACAGAGCCTCCTTGTATTTTCCAAGTGTATTCATTTCATTCTGGCTTTGTGGTGGAAGGACCTCTAAAGGGGGTGATGAGGATGGAACCAGCGGCAGGAGAAAGGGGAGGGCCACACAGGCCAAGGGGGTCACTTATTTGGAGAATCTTCCTGTGCATCAAAATGTGCGGGTTCCATTCCCAGTCAGGGCACACATACCTAGGCTGTGGGTGCAATCCCTGGTCGGGGCGTGTATGAGAAACAACTGGTTGATGTTTCTCTCACATCAATGTTTCTCTCTCTTCCTTCCTCTTTCTCTCCATTCCTCTCTCCCTTCCTCTCTCTCTAAAATCAACAATCATATACTTACAAACAAAAAAGCCACACAGGCAGCCTTAGGGGGAAAGAGAACAGCCTCTACTCCGTGAATGCTGTGGCAACAACCTCTTTGGGTGGGTGGGAGTGTTGTAATTTCTTTTTTCTCTGATTATCTGGATAATACCTACTCAATGTAGAATACTTGGAAAGAAGTGTTCTAGGGGGAAAAAGTCACCAATAACATTATCTTCTAAATGCAACCATTTTATAATTTGATGTATTTTTAAGAAAAAGAATTTAAAGAAAATAATCAATCACTCCACCTTAATCCATCTGTTTAATTTTTCCATCTTCCCTTTTACTTTTTATCTATATGCAAAACACTATTGACATAGTGAACAACTTAGCATCCTGTTTTTTTTTTTTTTTTAAGATTTTATCTATTTTTAGATAGAGGGGAAGGGAGGGAGAAAGAGAGGGAGAG